TCCCCCTATTCTCGAAAGCTGAACACGTTTCTCTTAGTAATTCCCATTCGTGACCCGTCACTCTGCCATTGGCCATAAACTCCGCTGCCTTCGGAGCTGAGTTCCATCGCACTCCCTTATTACAAGAGCCTTGCATAAAGTCTTCCTTGACATTGTAACCAGCATCCAGTGCAATATTTTTTCTTTAACCCCAGCTGCACTGACGGACCCTACCCAGAGTCTCCAGAGGGAACACGGTGAGGTGTGCGGTGTGTGGGGTGGATCTCCCCTTGCGGGTTCTTATCTCACTAAGTTTGAAGAATACATTTCACAGACTAAAGGTACCTGTTAGTAAAAGGGTGGGAATTTATTGGAAGCAAATTCAGACTCTCAGGTAGGAAGGGGGTCCCAAGGGGGTAACCCCCAAAGCCTCTCTTGCTGATGTTTATAAATGCTGTAGCTCTTTGTCTCTTCATGCTCCCTTCTAATTGGACCCCTTCCCCATTTTATGACCCCGTGCTTTTTGATTGGCCACCCTTTTGCAGAACATCAAATTCAAGTCCAAAACCCGCGTGGTGCCCCCTCCCCACCTCCCCTTACCTTGTAACATTCCTCTATCTCCTGTGAAAATCTTCCCCTCTTTCCGCCATTTGTCCTCATTTCTCTATCTTCTGCGGAAGTGTTTCCCTCTTCCCCACTTCGTGACTTTTATCCGCTGTGAATGGATGCCTTTTGGAGGCTCCAAGCCCTCACCTATGCATTCCTCCAGCATGGACCCTCTTTATTCTCAGGACTCCCTAAACCTGCCTATTTTATCCCTAAATTCCTTTCAGTGGGCCTCCTGACACCTTGATTTCAGACTTCCAGCCGCTGAAACTATGCAAGAATGCATGCCTGCTGTTCTAAGCACCTGGTTCGTGGCACTATGTGTGCAGTCCCAGAAACAATATAGAAGCCAGTGCACTCATCCCCACCCCAAAGCATACCTTTTGCGAGTAGTTGAGAGCCTTTTCCATCTCAGACACGATGGCGTTGATGTCGTCACTTTCATAAATGCCTGGAAACAAAGTATTTATGGGGGAGGAGCACCGGTCCCAGCCCGATCGGTGCCAGTGCAGCAGGGGCCCATGGAGGTGACCTGAGCTGGAGCGGCAGGGTGGGGTCTTATGGGCTGAGCGGACCAGTCCCCACCCCCACAGTCCAGTGGCAGTGACAGCGAGGTTACCACCAGTGGGGATGGCCATGGGACCCGGCACCCAGGCAAGAGCTTGCACCCACAGGAAGAGCAGGTAGGAGCAAGGGTGCTGGTCTGCTCCAGTGAGTAAAATCACCCACCCTGGGATACTTAGAGTGGCTGATGTCTGCAGTAAGTATTGCTGACTAGCCTGAGAAATAGGGCATCATGACAAAGGAGACAGACTCTGAAGTTGGCCTGTGTCCTGTTTCTAGACCGTGTGGGGGAAGGGAGAGAGCTTTTTGGCATCAGCTCACAGCAATTCTGATGCCTTGAGGCATGTTTTGGGGTGGCGTCGTCTGCCCCCCTCCAGCTGTCACAATGAGTTCTGTGAGCAACTACCTTTCACCCACCTGTTGTGAACACTCCCCTGTGGGAAACACTAAACTGAGGGACCTCTGGTGCCCCTTCCAGCTCCACATTCTAATGTATTTAAACAGTTTTACTTTTCTTTTTGACTTAAAAGATTACGGTAAAACATGTGACACAAATGTACCATTCTAACCATGTGTGAGTGTACGGTCACAGCGTTAAGCACATTCGCACTGTTGTGCCGCCATCCCACCATCCGTTTGCAGCGAACACGTGCTGTGAGCAGCAGCTTTCCGCTTTTGAGTGGGGTTTTCACGCTGCCTTTCGGGAATACCTCTCTGGCACAGGGAGCGGTGCTGGTACTGAGGCTCCCAGAGACAGAGAGATGGAGGAACCAGCCGACACTCGCGCACCTGTGTCTCCAAACCAGTGGAAACGGCCACCGGCGGCCCGGGTGACCTCGCGGTAGGCGGTGGCCGTGTCGGTGCGGCTGGCGTAGCAGGCAGGTGGGGTGGTGTCCAGCGGCGGCTCCCCAACGTAGAAAAGACACACGTTCAGCTGGAGGTCGCAGCCCCCGGAGGCCTCAGCCATGTAGGCGCTGAGCGTGGGCTGGGGGGAGAGGGTGGGGTTCTTAAACCTGTTGGCCCCAGATCAGTTCTGCCGGATCATTTTTCTTGAGGGCCTACTGTGTGCCAGGTGAGCACTGGGTGCCGAGGGTAGAAAGACGGCTGAGCTGGGTCACAACTTCTCTATCTGGGGAGGGTATGGCGGGAGCTGGGCCTGAGAGCCGGGTGACAGCCGGGGAGCTCATTAGAAATGCAGACTCAGGCCCCCGGCCAGGCCTCCGGGGCCAGGTTCTGCATCCCCACACCACCCCGGGCGCGTCTCCTGCACACTAAGTCCAGCTCGGAAAGCCGTGCTGAGGGGAGCGGCCACGTCCACCCGGGGACGCTGTGGGGTCATGAGGATGGGGGTGCCCGGGACTGGAGCACCTACCATGTCCTGGTCGGGGATGCCCCCTGTGAAGAGGTAGATGCCCTGCGACTGTTGTCTGTCTTTGTCCTTGAAGTCCACTTCCACCGCCTTGCGCAGGGCGCCGAGGACGTTCCTGCTGCCGCGGCACTGCAGGGTCAGGGCCCACCTGGGGGGCAGGAGAGCCCTGCTGAGCGAGGCCGGGGTGAGGCCAGAACAGAGGCAGGCACTGCCCCTCAGTGCAGCGGGGATGGAGGGAGCAGCCACCCAGGCTGCCCGCAGGCCTGGCAGGTGCAGCCTCTGCCCGCCACCTACTGCCAGGCGCTTTGTAAGTTGTCGCGGCTCATGGACACCATCTCGGGCCTCCAGCTTTCGACGGTGCTCCCAAACCTGAGGGAAGGAAAGGGCTCGTGCTCAGGCAGGAGACTGGTCCACTCTGGGTCCCAGCTCCTTGGGCTCCCAGGCTCTAAGGAGACCAAAATCCTGATTCCACCCCCAAAATGTTGGGGTGTCACCAGCCTGGGCCGGCCGAGACCTGGCTGTCATGACCTGGCCGGACGGTCCCGGGGAGGTCAGAGCCAGGAGTGCCCTGGCCGTACTTCCTCCCTGTCTTGGCGACGTGTGTGTGTGTGTGTGTGTGTGTGTGTGTGTGTGTGAGAGAGAGAGCGCGCGTGCGTGCGTGTGAGTGTGTGTGTGTGTGTGAGTGTGTGTGTGTG